ACTGAGGATCGAACCCAGTGCCTCATGCATGCTAGGCGAGCTCTCTACCACTGAGCCACAACCCCAGTCCCTGGTGATATTCTTAGACAGAAGATATTCACGGGTTGAGAAGACTGTGCTCTTGCATGCGGAGGTGTCATATAAATATAGCAGGACCCCATCTTAAGGTAGATTCCTGAGTATGTGTAGCCTGAGAGAAAATGGAGAATAGCACTTAATGAGAGAATTTGCAAATGTTAGCAACCCATACATAGTGGGAGAACTTTTATTTAGCATTATCTGTGAAACACAATGCTTTCAACATAATGACTGAAATCTCAGGGTAATACCTCCTTTGGACATGCATGATATTTGATCTTGCTTAGAGTGTGCCAGTATTTCATGCTTTCCTGCCTGGCTTCCTATAGTCCTTCATTTTGCATACCTGGCTCTGTTGATGGTATTAACTGGCTGCCAGAACAAGAAAGCAGACCACGCATAGTGACATGGGTCCAGATAAAATCTCACCATGATATCTCTGTCTCTATTTGGTCAGCTGTACCTCATTGCTGCCTTTGGCTTCAACTGTGGTGTATAAAGATGGGGGAAGACTTTGAGACACGTTGGTCCTATACCCTAACCATTGATCTAAAATTTTCAGGGAGATCTTTTTTAAATGAGCTGTGATTAGAAATCAAATAGACAGTGTTCATTTATGAGAGTGCTTTGAGATTTGGGCAGTACTCATATGTTTGGGCAGTACTTTGAGATTTGGGCAGCACCATGTTGTTATACTTTTTGTATACTTAAAATCAAGAGTTTCAATGAGATCAATTAGATTTTATTTGTTGTACTTGTTAAACCTTATGTTTTGAAATATTTTCTAAACCAAACCAAAACATGGATAATTTTTTTTACTGTTTAATAATTGAATACATAAAATTTCTTATCAAAATTCCTAATTTGTTCAACTTACCCCCTCCCTCACTGGTTGATTATTTTCCCAATAAAATAACTTAATCATTCAGAGATGGGTACCATTTTTTTTTAACCTCATGAAACAGTCACTATTATTCTCAGTTATTCATTACTGACTCTCCTAATCTTTATGGGCTTAGGGCTCTAAAATTAGGAAACTGATAACTATGCTTCCTGAGGTTCCTTCTAGGACTGATATTCTATGACTTATAACTAAGTTTTGTTCTAATTCATCCACTCTTTGGTGAAGGAGCAGATCAAAGCATCACAGTGACTATTATGTGTTCATCGTAGAAACTGTATGATGAGTGTTTATGTTTTCAAGTGCTGAGATATGATTACTTTATAATAGCACAATCTCTTTTTTAAAATTTGCTTTTAATACACTAAATATGAATAAATCCTCTGTTCTTGAAGTCACCAAAGAACTTAACTGCTATTACTGCTTGACTCCTCGTGAGATGCAACCATTTAAAAGAGAATGTGTGTGTATATTTATTTATAAAACACTAAGAACAGAAGGAATTTCCCTTGATCAGGCTGTTAGGGAAGTGCCAAAGTTTCTTAGGATAGGGATGTTGGATATAGCCTTTTCCCTGGGAGAGTTCCTATATGGTGCATTTGAGGAATATCTAAGCAGGGCTGAGCAACATTGTCTTCTTCAAGGGGGCTTCTCATATCTCCTGGAGAGTTTATTTGTGGGGCATCACCTCAGGATTTCTGATTTAGTAACTGTAGGGTGCCTGAACATTTGCATTCTAACATTTTCTCAGTGCCACACTTCATAGCTCAACTGTTTCTTTTTTGTGTGCAGTAGTACTGGATACTGGTTTTTGTCCAGCTGACCCACTTTCTCTGGTAAGGTATTTGAACTTTTTTTTTTTTTTTTTTTTGTAATACTGTCTTGGCCCTTGCTACCTCCTCAGTCATAATCCCAGCCAGCTTGATTCAACCCTTGTCAGTCTGTTTGGATTAACTATTCACAACTACAATTTCCCCTCTCAGTCCTCTTGCCTGGAAGCAACATGTTCTTTAGAAGTATCCAGAAGTGCTATTTCCCCAGACCATGGACATATTCTGGCAGAATACAGCAACAAGGTGAACTTAAACAAGTCACTTAACAGATTTGATCCTTGGTTTTCTCATTTGATTCAGGCAAAGATTTCTTGGTAGAACTTTGAAGTGGATATCTGTATCATGTTTGGGTGAGCATTAGTCACTGAGAAATCCTTGGGAATTTTTTTTTCTTGAGATGCATAAAATGCATTTTCTTTCTTTTTAAAAAAATTATATGTGACAGGGGAATGTATTACAATTCTTATTATACGTATAAAGCACAATTTTTCATATCTCTGGTTATGTACAGAGTATATTCACACCAATTCGTGTCTTCATTCATGTACTTTGGATTATAATGTCCATCACATTCACCATCCTTTCTAACCCCCTCCCTTCCCCTCCTACCCCTCTGCCCTATCTAGAGTTTGTCTATTTCTCCCATGTTCCCCCTCCGTACTCCACTATGAATCAACCTCCTTATATCAGAGAAAACATTTGGCATTTATTTATTTATTTATTTTTGGATTGGCTAACTTCACTTAGCATTATCTTCTCTAACTCCATCCATTTACCTGCAAATGCCATGATTTTATTTTCTTTTATTGTTGAGTAATATTCCATTGTGTATATATGCCACATTTTTTTTTATCCATTCATCTATTGAAGGACATCTAGGTTGGTTCCATGGTTTAGCTATTGTGAACTGTGCTGCTATAAACATTGATGTGGCTGTGTCCCTGTAGTTTGCTGTTTTTAAGTCCTTTGGGTATAGACCGAGGAGAGGGATAGCTGGGTCAAATGGTGGTTCCATCCCAATTTTCCAAGGTGAATAGAGAGCCTGCATCTTGGGAGCAAATCTTTACCCTTCACACATCTGATAGAGCACTAATCTCTAGGGTATATAAAGAACTCAAAAAGCTAAGCACCAAAAAAACAAAACAAAACAAAAAAACCCAGAACAAATAACCCAACCAATAAATGGGCCAAGGACCCGAACAGACACTTCTCAGATGATGATATACAGTCAGTCAACAAATATATGAAAAAATGTTCATCATCACTAGCAATTAGAGAAATGCAAATCAATTTCATCTCACTCCAGTCAGAATGGCAGTTATTATGAATACAAACAACAATAAGTGTTGGTGAGGATGTGGGGGAAAATGTACATCATACACTGCTGATGGGACTGCAAATTGGTGTAGCCAATATGGAAAGCAGTATGGAGATATCCTTGTGAATTTCTGAAGCCAATTTTCTCCTATCAGCTGGTGTTGGGGCTTTGTGGTAAGGCAGCACATTAGCCCTGAGATTGCCAATTGTCCTGTGGTTTTAAAGTCTGGGCACCATCGTCGTGCATCATGGCTCCCCTACCTTTACCATGTACTCTGTTCATATATGGGCTTCGAGCTTTACCCAACCCTCTTCTGTATCTATCCTCTCAACCTAGATGATCCCATCGGATTTTATGACTTCAGATACTATCTATATAGTAAGACTCTGGGCCTGACTTCCCCCATTAGCCCTAGACTTGTATGTATGCTTTGCTGCCTATTCAGCTTCTCTACTTGGATGTTTAAATATAACAGGGCCAAAGATCAAGGCTTGGTAGCCACTGCTGCTACCAAGAAGTTTGGGCACCAGTTTTCAGGACAACAACCTACGGTTTTCCTACAGTCTCTTTTCCTCATCTTTCCTATTAAATACATGATATGTCTTGAGGTTTTTTTCCTATAGGTTATGTTTTGAGTCACTAATTATATTTTCAACTTATTATATTACAGCTTTGGTCAAACTACCATCATCTCTTCCCTTTATATTATAGTGACCTTCTAACCAGTCTTTTGGGTCCATTCTTGCCCCTCTTCATCTGTCAGGAGCTAAAGTGGCATTTCTAAATTTGATGAATCTTTCTATGTTTACAAGCTTTGAGTGACTCCCGTTAAAATCCAAATGTCCCAGTATGAAGACACGAATTAGTGTGATCATACTTTATATACTACCAGAGATATGAAAAAAATTGTGCTCTATGTGTGTAATAAGAAATGTAATGCATTCCACTGTCATTTATTAAAAAATTTTTAAAAAGCCCAAACTTCTCACCTTAATTTTTAAGATCCTGTGTCAGTAGTTTCAAAACTCATAATGTATTGTAATTACTTAATCCCTAACCCAGGTAGGACTCAGCAGAGTGCTGGTTAGGTGTTCCTCCAGATGAGTCTAATCTGCACATTGGGCTGAGAGCTTTTGTTCTACTTAAGAGGCCTTGAATCTTACTGGGCATTAGAACCCCTGAAGGATTTGTTAAAACAGGTCTATGTGCACCACTTTGGAGTTTTGGAGAAGGTTTTCAGCAGGGCTTGAGAGTTCATTTCTGATACCTTTCCAGGTGAGACCTGGCTTCAGTTCCCTCTCTTGTGTCATTCCTTCTACTCTGTGCTTTGTGTACTATATCATATAGCAATTGGTCTTCCTAATAGAGCAGAGATAGAAGTCACCTGCATTGGGCAATCCATTGAGTGGGAGGAGCCACAAAGTTGTTTGTCAGGCCAAATCTAAATCTCCCTGGCTTTTTATATCTAGAGAAGACCCTCAAGTAATTCATGGGTGGCTTCCCGTAATCCCCCATCCTTATTTTGTATTTGGTTTAGAGATAGGGTCTCTAAACTGAATTGCTTAATGCCTTGCTTTTGCTGAGGTTGGCTTTGAACTTGTGATCCTCCTGTCTCAGCCTCATGAGCCACTGGGATTACAGGCATGTACCACCGCACCCGGCTCAGAATATTCTTTTTTATATTTTCAAATAGAGAATATCTTACTCATCATTTGTGTGTGAGCTTAAATTCTATTTTATCAAAGAGGATTTTCCTGGAAATTCTACGCAGAGCAGAAACCCTAATCACTCTATGTTAGTGCTTTTCATCTTCTCAGGAGTCTTAATTGGCATTTCAAATTTATTTTGAATTTTGGCGGGGTGGGGGGGTTGGTTCCAGTGAGGATGAAACTCTTCCCTAGAGGTCTTTAACAATGCTTGGCGCACAGTGAATGCTCAACAAATTAGTGTTGACAGACCTATTGGTGTGAATTTTGGAATAAGGAATTGATGACTACTTTTGACAGTTGAATTATAGATCTTTGCTCTTTTTAGTTTTCCCTGTATATGACTTTCACAAAACGAAGAGAGTGTTATGAATTTGAGATATTTAAGGTTCACGTTTTCTAAGATTTCATTCCAATTGACTTGATCCTCCTGAATACTGTTTTAATGCTTTTTTTTCCATCTTCTTTCACATATGAGCTTGAGAATGATCAATATTGTCTTGACTCAAACACAAACTTGAGTTCAACGCTGTCATAGAGGCAGAGTGTTGAATTAATTTGCTCCTGTTAAGCAACAGAAATAGATAAAATCAGCATGGCAACCTGTTGGTTTTCTTTTCTTTTTTTTTTAAGGTAGAATTTTAAAAAAAGATATTACACTTTGGAAGAAAATAAAATATGCTGGAAGGCTGACTTTCCCAGGTTGCTGTGGTTGTCTTTATTGAGCACTGACCACTTGTGTTATTTGTTTAAAGCCTCCTGCACTCTGTGCTGTGCTGGAAACCCCATGAGAGTGGAGCATATGATGCTTGCTCCTATGCACACCAAGCCAGGCCCCATGTCTCCTGTGTGGCAGGTGCATAATAACTATCTGATGAATTAATGAATGAATGAAGACATAGAACTGTTAAGCACTGTAATCTACTCCCTGTCATCCCCCGGTTTTGAGGCATCCTCATTGAATACTTCCTCCACATAGAATCCCTTTTAAACTTGGTACCACAACTGTGCCTTTGGAACCCTTCATTTCTTTATGGTTTCTTCTTAGTGGAATATTATAAAGATTCTCAAGCAAGTACAGAAGGCATACCTCTTTAGTCTCCTAGATTATTTAACTTCTTCCAGACAAATATTTGTTTCTCTAACTTTTGTACCTCTGGGTAACTCCCAGGATTCATGATCTTTCGACTGAATTCTTCCTCTCTGTGCTTCTTGGGAAGATATGAACAGATTGATTGTCATTTGAATTGAACTTGATTGAATCAGTATTTATTGAGTACCTACTGTGTGCCTGGTACATGAAGTGCAGTGGATGCCATGATGAGTGAAAGCAGGCATAGTATTTACTTCCCTGGGATTTAGATAGAGTAGGAAATATAAGCATTTCTGTTTTAAAAAGCCACCCAGCTGAGAAAATACTGTGATAAAGTGTCATTAGTACTATAAAGGAAAGGAACACTGTCTTAGGAAATAAAATTATCTGACATAGGTGAGGAGTCAGGGAAGCTGTCTTTGAAGATATGATACCTGAGCTGAGTTTTTAAGGATTAGTAGACATTCTCTAGGTAAATTACCTATTGAGCACATTTTTGGAAGCTGGAGAACAAGGAGATCATAGGGTCAGATGATCAGGTTTGGCTGAGAGAATGTTTGAATTTTAGAAGATAATCCATCTGTCATAGATTGATCCTTTTGAGCTACCACAGATATTTTAGCAAAAAGTTGATGCTAGTGAAATTTTATGAGCCCTGCATCAGAAACACATCTGTCCTTCCCCGGAATCATCTTAATCCTGTCAGCAATTCCCATTTATAGGTGAGGAATCCAGAGAAGTGTCTTATCTGTATCTCACAGAGGTCTCAGATACCTACATTCAGAACCTGAGTTTTCAATCATCATAGTATCCTGGTTCCCATAATCATTCCTAATATATCAGGTATCTTGGGCAACTTCAGTTTTAACATAGACACATATGTGGATCTCCCTATATATGTATTCCATGTTTATATGCATATATAATGCATAGAGACGTGTGTGTGTGTGTGAGAGAGTTTGTATAAACTAGCTCATGTGGATATTTTGGTATTAAGTATGAAACATAATAAATGATTTCATTAATGTATATGAAGATTAAAATTTGAATTGAAGGGTTTGCAATCAAAACAATTTAAATAAAAAAAATTGCTGGCTGGGATTGAGAGATGAATACTAGTAATGAGTAAATGGAACCAAGTTGTTTTCTACCACATTTGGGTGCCTAACTTCAGCAGGTGAGTGAATTCATTAGGGCAAGTGAAAATCTTATGCATGCAGCTGGCCTTATCCTCCACTGCTAAAGCAGTTCATCCCCATCCACAGTAGCTGCTTATAGCTTGAAATAGCACAGCCCTGGACTCTCTCTGCCAACTTCCCCTGCGGCCAGCCAGGGTTATGGCAGGGCCAGGGTAGCACTGACTATGCAGTGTGTGCGAGGCCAGGGAAGGGGTTAGTGAGTTGGCCAGCTGCCTTGGGCACCGATGCAGGGAAGCCATAGAGCAGCACAGCAATTTCCTGCTTTGGGTGAAGCCCTAGAAAGGCTAGTGCTGGCTAATTCCAGACTTTTAAATTCTTTTGTGATACCACTGTCCCCATCTCTCACCTCTTGTTTTTCTTTATGGAGAGTTTGATTTGTGCTATTCACAAGCTCCAGTGGTGATTTAAGGGGATCTTAAATCCTCTTCTCTGTCTGGTTCATAGTCATTTTGCCTGGAATTTCCACTATTAGAATGCAAATGTTGCAATCTCTCCTTAAGGGTTTGCAGCTTAGATAAAAATCACATAAGCAATTGGCTCAACTTGCTCCTGAAGGACAGTGGAGGTTTGGGACAAAGGCCAGGTGAGGAGGACTGTGAACATGAAGCCTAGGTCAGGAAGTGGGTGACAGATTGTGAAAATAGATCAACAGAAAGGAGATGAACAAAAGAAAAAGACTTTACATTTTCTGTTTTCCACAGTTTTACTTAAGCCTGGTCTTGACTTTGCCCATTTCTCTTTCCTGGGAGGATGAGGCCAAAAGAAGATGAGCAAATATATTCCTGAAAGTTCCTTTAAGTATCCCTCTGTCTAGGTGATTGAGTTTGAAAACCCTCAAATATGGCTGGCAACTAGCTTCTTTTCTAAGTTATCCTACTCATGTTAGCAGTTATTCTATAACTATTTTGGAATATTTAAAATATTAATATTAATTATAGTCATCATACTGTTCAATAGAACACCATAACTTATTCTTTCTGTCCAAGTGAAATATTTTTCTTTTTCTTTTTTCTTTCCTTTTGTTTTTGTGGTGCTAGATATAGAACCCAGGGTCTTCTGCATGCTAGGCAAGTACTCTACCACTGAACTATATATCCTCAGTCCCCAAATTTTTAAAAAACATTAGGTAAATAGGTAAGAACTCTAGAAATTGTGCTTTTCAAGAAAAATATTTCTTTCTTTGGCCTCTGTTATCTTTGTTAAGATGTAAATAATTTGCCTCAAAAGTCATTGGAAAGAAAATATTTTTTGTTGTTATTGTTGTTGTTTGGGTTGCTGTTGTTTATTTGTTTGAAAATCTATGTGTGAAATGTAGACCAAATATGCATTCAACCTACTTTTTTAATATGATATTTGGAATAGTAAATTCTTTTTTTTTTTAAAGAGAGAGTGAGAGAGAGAAAGAGGGAGAGAGAGAGAATTTTAATATTTAATTTTTAGTTATCGGTGGACACAACATCTTTGTTTGTATGTGGTGCTGAGGATCGAACCTGGGCCGCACACATGCCAGGCGAGCGCGCTACCGCTTGAGCCACATCCCTAGCCCCTGGAATAGTAAATTCTTAACTCTTAACTCTTTGCTCTATGAAAGATTATTGGTAATGTCTGTCTCTTGTAAAGTTAAACATTAGCTTATTAAATTCAGGCATTATTATCCTCTCCTGTTTCTTTTGATAGAAAAGACTTGCCTGATAATATAGTAAGAATATATGTATTTTTCTGATGGAAATAAGGTTGAAGTTTTATATTTTTGTCACTTTAGAACAAGAATTCTGTTAAACAATGGCTGGTATTATAGGAAAGTTGGCATTCTTCCCCCTCACTTTTGTAACATTGTCTGAAGTTAATGTTTTAACTTTTATAATGGTTATAGGCTTTTAAAAATGTTTCAGTGTTTTAAATATTTTTCATGTCAGAAATGAAAATTGTTCCTTTTTTGTAGGTTATGATTCATTTCTATATTAGTTTTCAAGAAAGCTGTTACATAAAGTATAGCGATTGAATAGAATAGAATTGGTGTGTGGGAGATTTAAACATTCTATCTGATAAGTAAAATTGCCCTGCATTTAGTCTAAAGTTAGTAATGAAAATGGTTTAATTTCAGAGGATCACTGATTTTCTACCACAGCATGCCATATGAATTGTAGACTTTTAGGGGACCTCATTTCCTTTTCTGTTTCTGGCCTCTGAGTCTCCACTAACCTGAAGTGTTTTCTGGAGTGTCTTCCACAAGCAAAAATTCTGTCATCTCATGAGGATTATAACCAGGATAGTGCTATTTAATTTACTCTCTGGAAAGTGGACCTTTCATGGAAGTGCAAAGTAAGTTGACTGAAAGAAACTAATTGGATTAAACTTTGTTTAATGAGCATGTAAACTTGACCAGGTGTTAAAAAGATCAAGGCTTGTTGTGAATACAGAGGATAAAGTTTATCCACCACACCTACTCAGAAGGTCAATGGTGGGAGGAAACGTCTTCAGTCTTTTTTTCCAATTATGGATTTGTGTGTAGGAGAAAGTATGTACCATTTCCTATTTGATTGTGAAATGTCCCTCCCTTGAGGTCCATCTTCTTCTATTGTGTCAGTTCCAGTAACTTCACCTGCCATCTCACTTAGGCTTCATCTCTATAGATGTCTACCATGTTTTTACTTGAAATCCTTGCATTTTCCTTCCTTGTTTGATTAAGGGGACATTTATAGCTGTGTTCAGTGGGATGTCTGGAGGCCATCTCCCGTAGAAAAGACTTGCCTGATTTCAGAGATCTATGTAAAGCAATGCTTATGTAAAGGTAAATAGCCTGGAAATTTTTTACATCATTCTGTTCACTTACTGAAAGCGTTCATTTGTATGTGGTTACCATGGCTTGACTGGCTCTGTATTTTAGTCATGCAAGTAGTTAATTAAAAGATATGGACACCTTTAATTTAAATAGCATTTGTTATTGGCAAAGGCAGAATTTAACATAAGCTGTAGGCAATATAGTATTTGGGGGTACTTTTATGTATAATTTAAGAAATTGTCGCTTTGGGGGGTATTTCTTCGTAGAATTTGTTGGAACAATTACAAATAAGTCTGGCTTTCACAATGAAGATAATTTTTTGGAGTGCTTATTACATTCCAGGCAGTGCTTTACATGTATGTAATTTAGTCCTAAAAAGCAACCCTGTGCACAACATGCCAAATTCTCCCTGTCTTTAAAACCCCTTTGAAACTAATTTCAAAAGATACTTGGTGTTTCTAAGGGAATGCAATTATTGTAGACAGAATAT